TCTTCTCCTATATTATCATCTTTTGCCATTAACTCCAAAATATTACTGTCATAATCGTCGATTTTTCGAGCATTCTCGTGTAAACTTTCTAACTTGACTTGTAATGTTAATTCATCGACCGATTCTTGATTGAGCAAATCTCCTATTGTATTATTATTAACCTTGTTAATTGGGTCCGTACTGGTGCTCTTGCCTTCTTATATTTATCCATAGTACAAACAAATCGTATACGCTTATCCACAACACAATCACGTCGGGGTCACCAAAATGTTGAGAATGGATTCTACTACCCGTAAAAACCACTCTTATTCAATAAAAATACGCTTCTTGACTTGATCTTTGTATTTTTATTTTTATTATTCTGACATTACATTATTTACTTCGCAACTCGCTTAGCAACAAATTATGTTGATCCTTAGCAACAAACAATGAACAATAAGGATCTTCTATGTGTTGCCACACCAATCATTTTGTCGTTTCTTGTTTATAATTAAACCCCACACCTGATACAAATGTAACGATATCCCTTATTGTTCTTTCTACATTTCCGTATGATATCAGGTGGTCTGGCGGTCTACATTTCCTTTCTTTATTTCTCTCCATTTCTCCTTTCTTCTCTCCTCGTTTCCGCATCTCCCTATTAGTTTAATGTGTGTCCTTCCTTTCCTATTTCCCATATTTTGACACCCCCTACATTATCAACTCCTTGTGTTCGTGTGTTCTCTCACCATCTGCCCATTGTAACAGGTGGTCGCTTGAGGTTTAGAAGGATTTGGTTTCGAATTCACAAATTTGCTGGTATAGGGCGCAGGGGTCCATAGTGAAAGAGGACAATACTAAAATGCGAGAGAATAAAGCGATTTCAGATCAGCAGCGAGTGTGCAAGCGATAAGACACAAAACGTCACAGTGTTCCGGGGTTCTAAAGGTCAAAAGAGCACGGGGGGGGGGGGGCAGATTTTCTGCTATACTATTTCATGTGGCCCACGCTTGGTTCTCGTTGGGTCCGTTTCGGTGTTTGGGTTCTGCGACTTTGTTAGGAAAAATTGGGTGGGAGAGAAGAATTATTCGCTAAAGGAGGAGCGCTGGAAGGCTGGAACGATATTCTAATCATCAATATATTCAAATAAGCCAAAGCATCAAGATTATAAGGGGAAATGATTACCCAAGAGTGATTAAAAGTTAATTTATTACTGAGCTAGGCGCGGATTGAATTAGCTCATTACAAAAAATTAATTGTTAAAGAACATTTTTACCAGTTCCGTAGGGATTATAATTTATTTAACTCTAACAAAGCCGTTACACAGTTATATACGTATTTCCCCAGCCCTGCTATGCTGTTCTTCAGAAAAGAAAGACAGCTGGTAAAGAGAAAAGGTGAAGACGGTGAAAGTGATGGAGACGGTAGAGACACCAGATGCAGTAAAGACGCTCGAGAGTTTTCAAGTATTAGGGACAATGAGGATATTGAAAAAGTTGAAGAAGTTTCGTATATCCTGAAGAGTGCGATAATCTTGGATCTAAACTTTCCAAGGTCTGAAAACCTTTCATAGTATTCTTAATCCACAGAAAACCTGATCGCAACCTTTTCGTTTTTCAATGATTTTCCTGGAATACTGACTACCCCCCCCCCCCCCTAGCAACCAACGGAATGAATTTTGTTTAAAATGATAGTCGAGTTCTCATTGGTTGCTAGGTATACATTTTACCAGTATTTGAGGAAAAGAACAACAATTTAACTATTACTCTTTAATTGTTGATTATCTTATTGATATAGTCGGCAAGTTCGGGATTTTCCACGATCGTCATGTGGGTTCCTTCGACCGTATGAACCTGAACAGGTTTTTCGCACAACTTCTGCAGTCCGTAGTCCTCGTCGTAGTTGACGAAGGGCGATTCGTTCGGGTTGATTAGCGTCACCTCCGACTTCAGCTTTGGAAATTTCGCCTCGTAGTTGTACACGGATTTCGTTTTCTCGCAGATGGCGATGGCCACCCGCCTTTGGTACTCTTTCGAATGCGGAATTCCTTCTGGTATCGCTTCCAGTAGGTACTCGACGCGTTCTTCCAACGTTTGCAACTGGCGGACAGTTTCCTAAGAAAAATCGATGAAATGGTGTGTGGATTGAGGAAAAGTTTACCCTGTGCCCTATTGTTGCCTCCATGGGTACGTATGAGGTGATTAAGTTAAACAGTACGGCCGTCTCCAATGAGGCCTCCGGTTCGTGTTCCGACGGGTACTGCACCTTTATGAGTTTCTTTAGCATCTCCGGCGCGCCGTCGATTAAAACCACTTTTCCGATCAATCCACGGACTTCTAAAATGGAAGCGAGCTCTAACGCGACCACACAACCATACGAATATGCTACGAGGTTGAAGTGATTTTCGACGTGGGGTATTAGCTAAAATCCGATTAGAAAAGAAGAAATGATGGAAATAATTACTTTTGATAGTGATTTAGCGAAGGATTCCAAGCGGAAATCACCAGCGGCGTTTGTGTACTGGAGGCATTCTACATGGGCCTTCAGCTTGTTAGCCAAGGACTCCATGGTTTCGGCTACTCCTTCAATTCCCGGCAGAAAGATCGCCAATGGCGCATCATCTTCTTTTTTAGCTAAACTTTCCAGTTGTTTTAATGGTATTTTTGATTCCTCCTCCGTGCGGAAGTGGGCGATGAAGATGTTATTGCGTGGGGGTAGGCTTGAAGCTACGGGGTCGGATGCTTCTTTGGATAACCGCGCTTTTAGTTTGGCGAAAGTGAGGGTTCGGAGTTCCTTGGGGCTTAGGAAGACTTCACAGTCGCGTTCGAGGATCTGCTTTATTTCAACGGCGGCCATGGAGTCCATGCCTATTTCGGCTAAAGAGGCGTGCTCGCTGATCGTTTTCAAATCGGTTATTCCTGAACAAAGCAAGGTAGTTGAGGGTGCTAGTTCAAGTAAACGTACCCATGATGCCTTTGATCACGGTGATGACGCTTTCGGCGCCTTCCGCGACGTTCTTTTTTTCCGCCACTACCATACTTGCTACGATGGGCTCGTTTTGCAGGAGGAAGATTTCCAAGGTGCTCAGACAGGATGCCACACGCTGTTGCAATGTGCCACTGATAACAATCTCTTTGTGCTGCTCCTGCATTTCCGCAACCAGGCCGACCTAAAATAGTACGTGAAGAATTCTGGACGGTGACGAAAGGCGCACCTCTCCGATTGCCCCCCACTGTATTGCCAAACCTGGGTAGCCCTCCCGTTTCCGTTTCTCGCATATCCTTTCCATGATGGAGTTGGCCATGCCGTAAGTGGTCTGGCCTGTATTGCCCCTTCCGCACGAGACCGACGAGAAGACAACGAAGTGCCTAAGGGGCGGTTAGTACAGTGCGAAGTACCGGGTTGGGGTAGCTTACTGTAGGCGGGGGCAGAGCTGCCGACTTAGGATATCTAGGTGCTGCGTCGCACGGGCCTTCGGCGAGAGCGTGTTCACGAAGTTCTCCTCCTTCTGGTTCTCGAAGAGGTCGTCCTGAAGAACTACCGCCAAATTGAAGATCCCGGCTACAGGCGCAAGCTTCTCCGAGCTCTCTAACAGTCGCGCGCAACCTTCTTCGATGGTGACGTCCTCTGTGGACACCCTTATGGTAGCCTCGTACATTTTCCAAACTCTACGGGAAGATGTTTGTGAAGGGATAAACCTAATTGGGCTCACCTAATTCTGGACGCTGCGTAACCATTTCGGACACCATTTCGAGATACTAAAACTAACTTTCGGGCACCTCTTAGGATCAACCAATCAACCAGTTCTAGTCCAAACCCTCCCAAGCCTCCTAAAATGATGTACGTCATGGAAGGGTCGCAGGAGAATCTGGAATGGTCGGTCACTAGCGATCCTTTGAAT